CTGCTACAATTACGGTTAGCTCTAGCTACCAAATATATGTCAACAGGTGTTATAAAACTCCTCCAACCAACTAGGGCCTTTCATTCATGCAAAACCTTTTCTTTAGCTCATTTACTATGTCACACCTGAATATGGCTAAAGACTCAAATCACATTCCATCCTGTACATTGCCTAATTATTATACTATTATTATTCATGATATGATAGCGTTTGAGTGTGTTCATGTAATCCTTCACATTTTGTATATTTTGTGCCATGTGTGTGTTTTGTTATTATCTACCTTGAAATAATTCATCTAAGTACACAAATATATATTTGTTGCTGTTTTTAGTTATTTTTTAAAAGTTTTATTACTGTTGGAAAACAGATTGTTTTGACAGCTATTGATCATGATGTGTTCAACAGACCATGTGGCTTTGTTGGGCAAGGGTTTGAAATAGTTAAAATCAATACTTGATCCAATTCTTGATACATGTGTATTTCATCTGTTGAGTGCAAAAAGGGTATTAACTCAAATCATGTTACCCAGAGTAAATACCCTAGCTTCTGACTCTCGCTAAATGATCTGTACTTGCATCGCTAGGTGTATTGACTGTTATGAGCCAGACGCTAGGGCATTCATTGTGTGTTGAATGACATTCATTGATGCCCTTTCGGCACACAATACTTTTGTTTTCATACCTCGTTTCATATTGCCTTTCAGTGTGATAACAAAATCCAAAGTCCAGATTAGTCTCTTTTAGGCATATTTGTAAACAAAATGATGTAAAGAAAAAAAAAATGTACCTCTCCATAAAATCAAGTTTGAAAACTTAATTAATTGTAATTGCAGAACAATGCAGATTTGATGGTTTGTACTGTTTTAATCACTTGGTTTGGGTTAAGTATGGTAACACACTTTTAATTTGATGCAAACCAAGCGTAAACCTTGAATGAGGTTTAAAGGGAGACGGTCGTCATTTCCATGTGCTGAAGATCATAATTCGCTGACACCAGACTTGGTGGAAATACCATTAATAGGGGTAAAAGTCTCGCACACAGCAAACCTGTGGTCCCATCAAGAACTATACCCCCTAGTCTCTCCAAGAGTATTTGTCCGAGAGAAATGTAAGATAATGACTTTACCATAAGGAGTATGGATGGAAAATGCAGACCATTACACATGCAAAAGCCTGTTGGTCATAAATCTGAAGGCTAATCCCTGTGATTGACAATGACAACACCTGCTCTTGGTTAAATTTACCCGAATGGTGTCGAATTCCCCATGAGAGCACAATACATGTAGATGTAGATGTAGATGTATGTGTCTTTAACTGCTCTTGGTTAAATTTACCCGAATGGTGTCGAATTCCCCATGAGAGCACAATACATGTAGATGTAGATGTAGATGTATGTGTCTTTAACTGCTCTTGGTTAAATTTACCCGAATGGTGTCGAATTCCCCATGAGAGACACATACATGTAGATGTATGTGTCTTTAACTTGCTGTGTAGAACATGGGACTCTCAGTTTTAACTGTTAAATTTAATTAATATCATCATTCAAAATGTTTTCTTGTTTTATTTTACAGGGTTACTTTTTAGACATTTGAGGTTGAGTCATTTTGTAATGCAAATTGTTTGTTTTGTTTTCTTTCATGCTTGTGTAATTCTGTGATTTAATTGAATTAAAATGCACATATATCATTATATTTCAGTCTCTGAATTTAAATGAATGTTAGAAAATAAAATGGACATGTAATGCTTTTTCCATGGAGGCTATTCTGTATACTTGTTCCAGATTCATAGGCCATGATTGAGAAGCCTAGTGCTTATCAGGTGTTCACCTGTTACAAGAATGTTAGTCAACTCTTTATTATGGTCAGCAAATGCAACATATATAGAACAAGTATGCATACCGGTAGCCATATGATTTGTGTTGTGTATTCCAGTCATTGTTGGTTGCACACTTGTACTATGAATAGCTATAGAAGGGTGTACGTACGTGTATGTAGAGTCAGCGCCCTTCTGGCTCTCAGCCGACATTATTACCAGAAATTAGAATGACTTACTTTTTAAAATAAATTTCATGGCAGTGCATGTATTTCAAAGTGTACTATAATTGCTTGTTTAAGTATACACATCAATATTTTTGAAAATTCTCATGTACAAAGAGACTACATGAAATTAAATGCAATGTGTGAACTGATGAAATGGTGATCTTCGTAAAGCTGGCATTTGCATTTTTGTTATTACTCATTAAGCCTCGTTCAATATGCAGCTGTAAACCGCAGCGATTATAAAAAGATGTCAGTGTGATACACTATTCACATTTCTGTATCTATTCTTATATAACACACAGCTCTGTGAAAACATGGAAAGCCTTTGTCGCATACATACAGTTGCCAACCTGCTGCGGTTTACCGTTACGTATCTGAACGAGACCTTTATACATATGATCATATGATCATAAGAAAAACATGAATATTATTAGTGGTGCCTTTTTATATTGAATTCTGATAGAAGTCATTGTTTTTTCTCTTGTGTGTGTATACAAGAAGATTTGGGAGCTGCATTTTCTACCCAAATCTTTTATCAGTAAGAAATTTGCAATGCACAGTTTTCCACACCCAATGTAAATACTGTATTCAAATATTTTACTTGTTACTAAATGTCAAAGGCCAGCTTATGCATGAAGTTGGAGTCTTTAGGTACATGTATCGGTATGTTCTGGAAATGACGAGGAGTAAACAAAAATACATCTTGGAAATTTTGCAAAACTGAATATAAAAATTAATGTTCACAATCATTTTCACTAAAGAAAAAAAATCTTAAGATGATGCTGTTCCACATATGTCTTCTTCATTAGATATTTCAGGGAATTACCAAGAATTTCATAAGGTATGAACCTTATGAAAATTATAATTTCCTAATGATTTTTAATTATTAATTAATCAGACCATTTCTATCAAAATTTCCGGAACACAAGTTTTATCCTGTAATGAGAATATATAAGAAGACAATGCTACGCAATGCATTCAAAAAGAAGTTATTTGAATTTATCTTGTGGATTAAGAGAGGATTGTTTTCTCAAATGTAAATTCTGAAAGTTTTATATTTATAAATGATTATGTGATCTAAACTAGCTACTTTATTGTTACATGAATGTGTAATCTGGTATGTGCCTTTGATGATAACCCAAAGTTACTTGAACGGAAGTAAACCCTGATATTCAGTGGGTTTTAATAAAAGCAGAAAATTGGATAAACAGATCAGTGAAAGCTAGAGCAATATCAGATAAACAATGAGGAAGTTTTAAATTTTGAAGTTGTAAGCCAACACAAATTACCAACACTGATGAACCTTGCGAGCTCCGAGAATGTCATAAATGTTCATTTTCTTGGTTCATTTATTGATGAAGAAATATATTTATGTCGTACATGGGTTTTGGAAAAGCATAGACATTTGTGAATTATATAGTACAGAGCAAATGGAAGAGGATCTCCCAAGATGCATCACAGAGTTGCCAATTTGTGTCTGAATGATTCAATTTCAAAAATGCATAACTTTATTTACTGTAAATCAGAATATTGCTCAAACTTTCACTGATCCGTTTCCCCAATACTTCAGCTTCTATTACAACCGACTTAATATCAGGGTGGACTTCCCCTTTAATAAGCTCTGATTAATTAAGTGCAGAGAAGTCTATTCTGTGAATACAATAAATATTTTGTGAAGGAAATATGTTTTTTCTCACTTCTTGCCTTAAACGTAAAATACTCTTTATTGTCCTAATTATTTTTGTATGCATGTATCTGTGATATTGAGAATGTGCAAGCAATGTTTTTATACACTTCTAATTGGACTCGATGGACTAAAGTTGCTGGAACTCCTGTCGTAATTGGCTTAGTTTTTTAAGTTGCAAGGTAGAATGAAAACTTGCATATAGGTAAAGTGTGCATTTCGTCATGGCTTTGGCATTAAAGATGAAGTTGAGTTCTGGTCATGCGATAGCATTGTGGAATCGATCAGAAAAGGTTGATCATCTAGCATATAAGTATTCGTGTGTATTGCAAGGTTCTGGAATCATCAAAATGATGAGAAATTTGGCCAAGTCTTGGTAAAGTTACAAGCACTGTACACAGAAAGGTGTATATGGGACTACACGAGCACGTGGCATAAAAATCTGTATATGAAGGCATTTGAAGAGCCATGCTTTTCAGAGAACATGTTTTATCTGTTGTTCTTCCAAACTTGCATAATAACAATGATAATGCTCACAAATAATTTTCACCTCTTCCCAGAACTTAACCTTCTCTTTAAAGGTATTACAAGGTATGGGGTCATGAATTCGGTTCAAATGAACACATTGAAAACATATGTGATTTTACAATATTCAATGACCGTCTTCGCGGTTGAAATCTAGTCTAAAGTGATGAAATTGTAGACTCTTTATGTTGTATAGCGCCCTCTCAAGACTGATATTACTTTAGCTCTAAAACATTGTTTCTTGACTAGGATCGACCAATTTGCTATTTCTTGTTGGAAATTATATATCAGAAGTGCATATTCTGAGATTTGCATGGCCGCAGCTACCATAGAATGGCCTAGGGGGCTATTTGAAATATTTGACATTTACCAGGGGCACCAGTAAATTTTATTATTCAATTTCTCGAAAGCAGAAGTGTTTTAGGGGCTGAATTTTCTAGTGCTTATAATACATCCACAGGGGCATCCAAATACATCAAAATTGTAAAGAATTACTATCAATCCAATTTTTGAAATTTCCCAAAACTTTGCATTACCTTTAACACATGTGCATGCCAAACACCAAATTTTGTGTAAGTCTCTTCTTATTCTAGTCTAACTTGTACCATTAAAAAAAAATGACAGGGATATAGACAAATAACAAATTAAAAATGGATGGTTAATAATCTTGGTTTTAAAATACGGTTTTGAAATTATGAGTAACAACCTTCGGCTCAGCGCAATAGCACGTCTGCATTACCAAAACAGGCAATGTGCTTAACAAAATACAAAACAAGAAATTAAGACTCATTTTGCAGAAGTATTTTAATACAAAATATCTACAGACATATTTACAATATTATGTAACTTTTCCCACCAATTTCACATGAAATATTGTTATTTTATTCTGAATGTTTCCAATTGTATTTTCTCAAGTCTCGATTCACATGAGGTATCAAATACGGGAATGAAAGAATGGTAGTGGTTATTTTACCCGACTGCTAAGAAAGCATAAATGCTTGTAAGCATAAATGCTTGTAAGATCAAAAGCAACATCTAAATGATTGTTCTTGTTCTGAAGCAATATTCAGGGATAAAACTTTTCAAAGAAAATATCCTTGGACATTTTAAATCGCTATTAAAGAAAGATGCATGTACATGTGTGCTTAGTACTGAATAAGCCCGTTTACACAACCCAAACACCATTTAGAACAATAGTCAATATTTTGACTGCCATTTACACTACTGGAAAAAGCCAGAAAAATGGTGGTGATTGCTCATTACACTTTCTTGGTGGTTAGTGCGCATATGCCACTTGTCGCTGCTCTGCATGTGATCACACACAAAGAAACACAGATTCGTACCGAAGTTCAAGAGCAGGCAGGTAGTTGCTGCAACTACCGAACTAACACATAGAATGTGAGAAAATTCAATGATTTTTGCTTGCAGTGTAAATGCAGCTACTGACAGTGTGAATGGGTTTTAGGTTAAGATTAGGGTCATCTTGACAAGTCCAGGGGTCATCATTAGGAATAGGTTTGGTTAACTTAGAAATTGAATGCAATGCATGTGTTATACACCCATCAAATATGGGATTTCTTTAGAGCTGCTTTCAAGGTATGGTGTATTAGCGCAGTTCTTATTTCTTGTCAAATTGATTGACATCAATTATTACAACTAAACCTAATTAAACGCAGGCTTTGAATGTGTTCAGAATGTGAAGCAACTGGGCCAAAAGCCAGGGTAATGCTCATACGTTTTTAGGCACCTTTATTTATTCTGGTCGATGTGTTTGCATAATGCATGTAACCAGTAGTATATTGAGCCTGCTAAAAAGGCTGTACTGTGTACACATTTAAATCTGAGTTGGAACAGGACAGAGATGGGCGTAGAGATGACCAAACTTATGGATACTTCGATGGACTAGACTCCTTACAACCTCAGCGTACTTGGACACCAATTCTGCCAACAGGATGAGAAATACAGAAAGAGACAATTTTAAAAATAATCCACTCTTTTGACTCATAAGCAAAGAAAACAAAAATGATTAAAGTATTTGCAAATTAGGGAGCCACGTCAAACTACATACATTATAATTTCACTTGAAATTTATTGCCCCATCTCAATTTTTGGCAAGCATTACAATCAGTTTGTGACATTTTGGAAATTTCTTTTTGACAAAAGACTAGAGGAAAATGCTTACAAATCTTAACAATATTGTATACTAAAGTGGAGTATTAAGCAAATGAGGTGATAACTAATTCATAACATTTGTTTGATGATGATTGTTTTACCCAACTGCTAAGAAAGCATGTACTGGTATATGGTTGTAAGTAAATAACCAGGGGAACAACAGCTATAAATACTCTCTGAGGGCGAGGATTTACCAAAGGGCAAGAGCACATTGACTTGGTTTGAACCCGGCAGCTCCCGGTTCGGTCCACTGCTCTACCACTGAGCCATCGCTGATAGTCCGAAGGGTATTAACTAAGTGCTGTTCATGACTTGGCTTTTAGCAGGTGAAATCACTTTTTAATTCTCTCATTTCTACTTGACCTGAATAAATCACCTGCGTAGAGAAAGGGCACCAAACCATACAAAAGTAATAAAGAGATGATTACCTTGCGGGAAAGCTCTGGAGGGTAAGCCTTGTTCATCAGTTTCAATGAAGACTTCTGCTATGGGTGGGTTATCCTACAAGGATATATATACACAAAGGGGTAAGAGCAAAATAAGTGAATCATATTCTCCTTTTTACATTTTGCTCTCAAGGATCATCTTGTGAGAAGGGGATTGGAACAAAGTTTAATACTAAACATTAACTTTTTTTGTAAAAAAAAATAAGGAAATTTATCATAGTTATCTCACAAAATTGCCACTAAAGCGATTAAAGTCGTGCTAATAACACCCCTACTAGGAAGTATTCTCTATTCTATATGGACAGCAGTTGAAGATACATGGAGTGGGGGGAGGGGGGGGGGGTCATATCCTGAGAGCAGATGCCCGAGGTACTGTCCTGTGGTTAGATGTTTGGGAGTAGATATCAAAAGATAAACATCTGAGGGGTAGTTATCTGGGGGTAATAGTAGTAAGGGGGTCAGGAGTCATGGGGATAGATGTCCTAGCATCATGCTGAAGAGCTTGGGCTGATAAGCTTACTAACCTGAAGGAATGTCCATATGTAACAGAGACGGGTGTATATACACCTTTCCAGGATGTTAATTTCTGAGGGGTAGTTCACCTAGCGGGGTAGTTGCCCAGAGGTAAGTTTCCTTAGGTAAGTTGTCCTAAAGATCAAGTTGTCGGGGTAAAATTGTCCAGGGTGTTCTTAAATTATATTAGAGAGCTCAGGCTCCTCAGTGAGGCTATACTAAACTAAGGAATGCCATATGCCAATGTCCAGGGAGGGAGGGGAGGGGGGAGGGTGTCCCAGAGTATGGGGTTGTCCTGGGGTTAGCTCTCCCAGGGAGGCAGTACGTCATACTCACCGTTAGGAATGCCCATATGTTACTGAGAAGGACGTAGACCTCTCTAGGAGTGAGTTCACTGAAGATTGGATGACACTGGTTCAGGGGTGGGGGAAGGAATCCAGCCTAAACAAAGCAAATCAAAACAAGCATTGATGAACTTCAAAAATAGAAAATGGCCCTACAAAAAAGGTTTTGCATGTTCATAAGACTGAGCTATTCATAGATATTGAAATGCACATCTGATATGCTTTTCCTAGACAAAAATCTCAAATAGGCCTATTTTAAAAGAAGCTGAAAAGTCAACCTCTAAATGCACTAGCTTTGGAGACTCTGCTCTCTTTAAATTTGGAAAAATGCAGAACTGTACTATACTCACAACAAATAAGAATTATCAATGCCTCATTATGTGGAGATGCCAACGGGTCACATCACATTATGTGTTAAAACAATGGGGCATAGTTTTGTTTTCGATAAAAAGCTTTATGAACATGATGGCAATGTGCCATCATGTTCATAAAGCTTTTTATCGAAAACAAAAAATGCTAAATTTCTGAAAAATTAGCTCTCGGCCAATCAAGTGCCATGATTTCAGTAGCTTATAACAGTTATTTTAATTTTGTATTGATAATAAGTTTTATGAAACAGTGCAAGATCATTTATCGCTATCTGAGCCTTGTGGGGGGGGGGGGTAGGACCAAAAGGATTACAATACTTCATAATATTTGTATTTTTGTCCACAATTCATTCAACTTAACTTTATCAGGAATACTTCATCGGGTCCTTTCATTTTATTAACACTTCAGTTTCTTTCTCGTTCGCTAAACTTGCAATTTTGCACAACACAATCGGCACCACGTGACGGAAGGATCATTGCTTTCTGCAACACGATGGCTTTGCAAAATTACCCATTATCGGCCTTAATCAGCTCCTTGACAATCACTTCAATCACTTAAAAAATCTAGAGGCCGTTGGCAATATCTATTCTATGATGAATACAATATGGCACAGGGATATTAATATTAGTGTGGCATATTAAGAGTGTAAACCAGAAAAGGAAATTTCTTTTGAGATTTATTCTTGGATTGACAGTTGGTGTTTGGTGTGCTTGTGAGGGTCTTACCAGGTTCATACAGTGGACAAGACGACAGGTGACCAGAAGATGACCTTTGGAATCCCCTGCAGTCTCATCACGGGATGACTCCCAGTGAGAGATGAGTGTTGCCATAACACTGTACAATAGACCAGAGCAGTAGCACAGTGCTGGCTTGGCTAAACAGAAACAAACATAAAAACATACTAATCTCCACAAAAGATACTACAGTGAAACCTGTATATAAAGACCACTTAAGTGCAACATGCATAGTGGTCTTTATAGGCAGATGGTCTTTAAGTACAGGTTCCTTTAGTACAGGTTTCAATGAGAAAACAGGACCAAGGGAAAAGAAAAATGTGTTCTTTATAGACAGGTGGTGGCTAAGGCAGGTTTGACTGCATTTAACTTATTCGGATTATCTAAAGATTTAACAGTAAAAAAACAACACTTAAAGCAATGTTTCTCTGAATAAAGATATTATCTTTACTTTATAACCATTGACATTATTGTCAAGATGCTTTTCACAAGCACAAGGTAATGGCACTCATTTCTGTACATATGTACACTGTGGGTGATTTTAATATGGATGATATATTAGACATCACAAGTCAGTCATTGATTCATACTCACCTCTTGAAATGATTTCCAGGACGTCCCACGTAAAAGGATACTCATCAACCCTCTTCTTAATACTCAAATCCCTGAACGAATTAAAGCAAAACAGGAAGGACAAACCAGTTTAAAAACTGTAGGTTGCATAGGCTTATTAACAGGCTTTTCAATTGTATATAAGAAACACTAATATTTTACAAAATAATTGTCTTTGTATAAGGTTAATAGCTTCTGATGAGGTTTGAAATGTATAAATAACATTCTACAATATGTTAGGTCTAAAGTTTTTGTTTTTAAGTAATCATTTTACCAACAGACAAGTGAGATTGACAGAGAGAGAGAGAGGGGAGAGAGAGAGAGGGGGGAGGGAGGTAGGGGGAGGGAGGTAGGGAGAGAGAGGGAGAGAGAGAAAGGGAAGAAGAGAAGTCCAAAATGTTGGCTCTATGAGATTATTTTGTAAAATATCACTGACAATTGGAGCAAACAGGAGTGTCAAGAGAGGAGGAGAGACTGAGAAAGAGGGAGGGAGGAGAAATAATGAGAGAGAGAGAGAGAGAGGAAAAGAGAATTATATAGGGGAAAGGGAGAGAAAGAGCTAGAGTGTGGGAGAGAGTGGGAGGGGGGGGGGGAGAAAGAACAAATAGCAAAGAGAGAAAGAGAGACAGAGCACAAACAAGGGAGAGAGAGAGAGGACAGAGAAAGGGTGAGCATGAGTGAAACAAACAGACAGACAGATAGACCAAGTATCCATGTATGTCAACCTTTCAATGGTATGCTTAATCATCTCCTCGTCTGGCCAGTATTCCTCTGAATGGCTCACATCAGGACACAGAATCTCCATCAGTGTCTCTGCCATGAGCTTCCCTGTAGCTCTGGCTACAGGCTGCCTGGATGCTTGCTGAATGCCCTGTGCCCTGGGGTCCAAGGGGAGCAGATGGGTGTTACCAGCCTTTATGAGGGGGCAGGGCGTGGTCTCACGTGGGCGCAGGAGGAGATGGCCTCTACCAGCAGGCGAGAGTTGGTCTGTTTCGTTTCCTACAAATTTGTAGACAGAAAAAATGACAGATGTATTACATTCGGCCTTTTTTCTATTAAATGCAAATACAAAACTGGGTCATGACTCTGGACACTCAAAGAGTATTTATAATGCTCTTCTGAGACTTACATGACATGCTTTGAAATTATCTTCTTCTTTTTTTCTCTCCCATTGGCGATTAATGCCAACTCTTCTTAAACTTATTATAAAAAAGATGATGACAATAATAACACTACAATCCCTAAAATGACGTTAAAATAATAATAATATTGTTACATGTAAAAAGTATCTAACTTACAATATCTGACACAGCTTGTCCAGGCAGCTTCTTCCTAGCCCCCTGTCCAATAATGCCTGAATGGAATGCTGTAGATGCACTTCTAGGGACTGTCAGAGACCCGGAGAACTTCTGGTTGTGTTTTAGTAGATAAGCTGATCCGAGAGAAGATTCCATCATGGAAGATTGTGAGCGGGACTGAGGGTGCTGGGCAGAGTGATTACTCGCATTGGCAAACAGTTGCGAATTATGCTGAGGGACGGGGTAAATATAAATACAAGAGTAAAATGCAGTGTGTAAGCCATCTTTAAAGGGGAAGTCCAAAGTTGGTTTTAATAGAAGCAGAAAAATGCGAGGAAGAAGTCCTTGAAAGTTTGAGCAAAATCTGATTGAAAATTAATAAAAGTTAAGGATGTTGCGATCAATTAAAGATAAATTGGCAACAAATGACTGTGACGTATCTTATTATTGGTGACGGAACAGAATTGTTTCATACAGGCGTTGTGTAGAAACATATTTGCAATGATTGTATTTAGGGTGCATGTATGATTTTAAATTTTCTTTCAGGTAAATAGACATTTCTGAATTTTTTCCAGAAAGCTCGCATAATGCGTCACATAGTTGCCAATATGTGATTGATTGATCCGACTTCAAAATTGATGTCTTTTTGATTTTTTAATGAATTTTGCTCAAACATTCACTGACCTAGACATAACTCTAAATCATAAATCTCTGTTTCCGTACCAAATACCAACACAACATGTCACAGTACTGCCCTACCAAAAGATCACAATTCAAGAGGCCATGAATGTGTTTAAAAAAGTGTCTCTGATAGCAAATGTTTTATTCCACAAGTCTTGTATTCAGGCATACAATGTCCGGATTTCTGTTTGGACTCGGAGGAAAATGGATTATCTGTCATCTTTGGTTTTAAAAACTGCCTTGTTTACTATCAATATTATTATTAAATCGGCGCCTTCAACTGCAACTCTAAGTAAACTCGTGTGAGTTTTTGGAGACGGACCTGGGATACGGTGGTGAAAAAAAAAAAAATTTAAATAAAAAATAAAATAATAAACATGGCGTCCGAGTAGTTGAATATTCGCCTGTAAGCCTGGGAGTGTACTCGAGTACCTCATTACACGGTTATGCACAGCCTTAACAAACACCTCTGAATTCAAAGACGAGTCAGCAGAGAAAAGCAAAACATTGGCACAAGAGAGATTTTGAGAAGCTCCTGGTATCACGAAGAATACCCACTGGAACATTCTCATAATAACTTTTTAAGTCCCAAGTATAAGAAGGAATAAAGCCAGTGTTCTTACCACTTGCACAGACCCGACGAGTAAGGATCTGAGAACGATGGATTGAGCAAGTATAAGAAGGAATAAAGCGAGTGTTCTTACCACTTGCACAGACCCGACGAGTAAGGATCTGAGAACGATGGATTGAGCAAGTATAAGAAGGAATAAAGCGAGTTTTCTTACCACTTGCACAGACCCGACGAGTAAGGCTCTGAGAACAATGGATTGGGCGGTGGTATGACTGCATAAGAAGGTTAAATAACTGCTGCATGTTTCCAAGGTCTTTAACCTTTCCATGGTATCTGTAAGAGTGTGGTAAGAGTCGATAAGTCAATACATATAACAAATATATAACAAATTATAGGAAACAAATAACAAATATGAAAATTTGCAAATCTGTTGTTGGCATTATTTTCATTCAAACAGGTTTATCTAATACACATTTCATTCGTCTTGACAACGTAAAGATTGAAAGAAAGATTACTCTGTACTGCTGATTCACCCAGACCTTTGGAAAAGTTCTTTAATCTGTGGGTTAACTATATGTCATAGAATTAAAAGCATCAAGCAATGTGATCTACTGCCTCAACAAACAGCCAATATTTTGGTGTGTAAAACAAATGCCTGTGCTCTTCATATGCTTTTCACACTGGTAGAATTTTGCTTATCCCCGGACTATAGGTGGGGCTAAAGGGGTTCTTAGCCCCACCTATAGTCCTGGGTTAAGCTTAGCCCACCTTCTGTTCAGACACAAATTTACCCAAGTGGGCTAGCCCCACTTAAAGGGCAAGTCCACTCCAAAAATAACTGACTTTCAATAAAAGCAGAACAATCAGACAAACCAATCAAAATAAATTTGAGCAAAATCGGATAACTAATAAGAAAGTTATGAATTCATGTAAAACTATGGAACAATGAGAATCACACAAATAGCCAAGATGGTTATCACTTTGTGACGTCATGTCCTCACAACTTATCAATTGCTTTATATAGTTTAATCCCATTAATTTCCCTTTTTATCTCCCAAAACTTGATTTCCCCATGCCTTTGCCCAGGTTATATGATTTGTATCATATTTCATGCATGACATTTCCCAAAAACTTTTATGAATTTTGAAGAATTTATACTATTTTCTGAATATTGTATTTCATAATTATTGATTTTTATATGAATAGTTTATCAAAATTCAATTTTTCATGATTTAACTGGACAAAAATTACTCTTTATTTGTGCATCCACACAAAAACACATGACTAACAACCTAACTTGGATGCTGGTGTGAAGAAATAAGATTCTTAGGGTGAAAATAGGAAATTTATATTATCAATATAAAGAAAATAATTAGTGGATAGTGAGGATCATACATCACAGACGCATGAGTGAGTTGCCAATTTGTGTAGTGATTTTCAAAGTTTTTCATGTCATTAAAAATGCATAACTTTTTTATTAGTTATCCGATTTTGCTCAAACTTGTGTTGATTGGTTTGCCTGATTTTTTTGGTTCTATTGAAAGAAAGTTATTTTTGGAGTGGACTTGGGCTTTAAAGTGATGGGTTAGTTGGGCCTGTAAAAAGAGCAGGGCTAACTATGCAATTCCGATGCCAAGCAAATGAATGAGAACGGAAACAACAAAAAAGTCTGGTACTACGCAATGGAGCGTATCTGAGCTGGCCAGAGGTGAAGCAAGAAACCCACTGTCCAATCAGAGACGACGTATCCATTATGTATATGCATTTCCTGTGAAGCACTACTGGTGCAAAATGTCATGTTGTGTACTCTTATTGTGTACTATGCAGACTTTTCACTGGAATTTTTAAAAAATATTCTTTTCGAGGCAACTTTTATTAACAGAGTGATTATGTTTAAATTATACCCTTTTTATCATTAGTGTGAGCAAGAGCGCATCTGCAGAAAAGTTCCCTCATGAATATTCACACTATACAGCTTTTCTTATCCCGGGATAGGTGCTTAGGAACGGGACTAAAATAACGTGTGTGTAAAGTCAAGAAAGTTAGTCCGGGGCTAAGCAAAGTACAGGGCTAAGCAAAACAAGTGTGAAAAGCATATCAGTATACTAATCTTTGTGTTATAAGATACTGAAAAGTGGAACAAAATTTGCCTATTTTGTTCAATTTGACCACAGTGGTGTTTAAAGAATTCTTTGTGCCTCAAGTAGGAGTGTTTTCTCTCTTACCTGCACTATGCATTGCTGCAAAGAAGAACTCCACAGACGACTGACACAAGCAGAGCAAGGTCGACATGTCAATCAGCTCGGGTAGACCAATCAGCTTCAAGAGATCCACTGTCTGACAAGCCACGCCCAGGTCGCCATGGTGAAGCTGGCTGGCAATCATCTGGAGGTGACGGGTCAAGTGGGTGCGAAGGTGAGAGGTCATCTTGCTGGAATGGGTGCTAGTCTTGAAGGACAGCAATTTGTTGAGGTTGGTCAAGAGCTGCAGTGTCTGTCAGATAGAAACAAAAGATGTCAAATTTTATGCCACATTAAAATATTTAGCATCAGAGCCTTTTTACATTATCAAAACAAAGATTATCAAAACAAAGATTATCCTTTTTTTCAAAAATTTCTGTACAATTGCATGTCATGGTTTAATGGACTATAAGCAATGAAAACAAGCAATGTATAATAAGCTAATATATATTCAAAGAGGAAAATATATTCATGTACTCTTTATATTTGGGTGTTTACCTCACTATAGATATGGCAGTAACAATAACCTCCAATATACTGTGCAACTTTGAATTCTATCACTTTAATTATGGTGCCAAATAGATAACAAAATAATCTGTTCCATTATCTTTACTTCTTTGACCCCAATTTATGGGCCTACTGGTACTCTGAATATTCAAATAATTTGTTTATTTTCCATGCAGAGGGTTTTCTACCTGCTTTGGGGTAGTTCTCTGCAGTTGATTGACTGATTTCTGGATGGCGGCAGGGAGCACTGAAGGATAACTGGTCTCAATCTCTGTCAGGATACTGATGTATAGACCGATCTGATACCAAGAAGAGAAACCACATCCAAGGTTAAAGGTGCATAGAAGTGGGCTCTCGTGGGGAATTCAACACCATTTGGGTGTTCAGTTAAAGGTACTATGTCCCTTTTGCAGCCAACCTCAAATTCTGTAGAAATTTGCAGGAATTATAAATATGTCATGTATGTCCTATCTGTGAAATTTGAACGTTAGCAGTGTCCTAATATTCAAATTATGCAAGGAAACCCGTTTACTTGATAGACTTCACTGTCAGACACTATTGAATGACTGACTGGCTTTTTTCTTCTTTGGTAATAACATACATAAAATGAGCTGTAAAAGGTACATGAGCATTTGTCTACCGGTACATCAAAAACCCACTTCTTGTGATGGCCAAAATTAAATTGATTGAATCTTTGCGCAGCATAAAATGTATGACCATTCGGTACAATGGTCTAAAAATCAAGACTATTACTTATTGGCTCTATAGCTCCTAAGTCGATTTGACAACTAATAGTCGTTACTTTCCCACTTGAAGACATTTTCAAGCCCCACCTTTTTTAGGGAAGTTCTAAATTAGTATTATCTTTCAAATGCCTTTGAAATTTCACCTTTACATTTTTTTGGCCTGCAAATGGGACATAGTACCTTTAATCACTAGGATTAGCCTTCAGTTTGATAACTGACAAGCCTTGTATGGTATGGTAAAGTCATTATCTTACATTTCATGCACCTGAAGATTCTATAGGACTACGGGTTCACTGTGTTTGCACAGACTTGTACAGACTATTAATGGTATTTCCACCAAGTGTGAGCTAGTTAGGGCCTTAACCCTCTCCCTGTAATATGCACATTGTCGACATTGAAATGGAGTAGGAGAAAGTCCACTTGCACGAGATGGCGTCGCAATAGTTCTTCACATTCCTCCTCTACATCAACATTGCTTTCATCATTATCATTACCACTCTCAAAACCCTTACCACTGTCATCATAATGATCACTATCATCATCTCAATCGTCATGATCATCACTAAAATCTTTACCATCATCATGATCACAATCATCATCCTCCTCACCATGTTCCCTCCTCAAATCATCATCACCATCATCATCATCATCATCATGTTCCATCCTCAAATCATCATCATCATTATCATCATCATCATCATCATCATCATCATCATCACCATCATCACCATCATCATCATCCCTACCTTAGCTTGGTTAGATTCATTGATAACTTTCGTCATCACCACCACCACCATCATCATCGTGATTATGATCATCATCATCATTGTCGTCGTTGTCGTCATCATCACCATCACCACTTTCATTACCATCAACCATCATTCACCATCATCATCACCATCCCTACCTTAGCTCGGTTAGATTTATTGATAACTTTCGTCATCACCACCACCACCAACATCATCATGATTATGATCATCATCATCATTGTCATCATCATCACCATCACCATCACCATCACCACTTCTATTACCATCAACCATCATTCACCATCCTCCCTACCTTTGCTGGATTAGATTCATTGATGAGTATAAAGCTAAGGATGTCTGATGCACATGACTCCCCAGACTGCACTGAGATCAGAGATAGAATCCGCTGCAACCATCCAACTCTGAAAATAACAAAGAGAATACATTATATACAGTAACAGAGAAAATTTGATAAATGTTGAAGGAAAACTGATAATATGAGAAAGCCTGAGAGCTTTTGGTAAAATCACTCATAAATATTTGACCTCGTGAACATATCACATTACTTCATTATTAATAAGCTGTATATTGATAAAATGGGCCACCCTTTTTTTTGGGGGGGGGGGGTTTGTTGGGGAGGGAGGGAGGGAGGGAGGGAGGAAGGGAGGAAGGGAGGGGAGTGAAAATATCCAAACATACTAAAGAGAAATCCTACAGCCCCACACTTTGGGATGGCTGGCAAAATTCCTGAGACGATATTCACACAAAAATTTATGGGGACATTATGCCTTTGCTCTAAACAAGCCCTCCTTGAGAGAGCCTGGAAAGAGCTGGAAACTTGGAAAGATTACCCAAATCACACTTCTCTTAAAAATTGGTGTTGGACCCCCCCCCCCCCCCCCCCCCCTCCCTCCCTCCTTTCCGACAATCCTGGGTCTGCCCTAGGTTTTTTCTTGAATCTCAAAAATCACTGATTTTAAACTAAAAATTGATGATTAGCTCTCACCTTCTTCCTTGTGAGCTTATTATGTCATCACACAACAGAGAGGTGTGCTTCTGAAGCTCATTGAGAAAGGGTATGTTACCACTCTCCTGACTGATCTGAGGACTAGCAAGAAGGGATAGGTTACCAGACTGGCTGTAGGCTGACCGCTGAAGATCCAGTAATAGGAGATCCTAGCAAAAGAATGTGAGACAGGATAAAATATTTATCTTTAATATGCAGGAAATAAATCTAAATAAGTTTCTGATGGAAAAAAAAAAATCAAAATCTACATAAGTACATAGACCAATCATGCATACAATTGTCATCAATATACCATTTTCCTATTCAGCGATAAAATTAAAATATATTACACAAATGATAGCAAATGAGTTTCTTACACAATCTCTAGTTAACAACTAGAGTGCTTTTTATTTGCCAACTAAGCATAGTAAGGATTTATGAATATGGGCCCACAAAACTATGAATATTACACAGGCAAATTGACAGACTATATAGAGGTACATTGACAAAGATCATGTCCACACCATATGTAAAAATCTGAACTAAACTCACAGCAAGTATCCTAAACAAGCAATGAACAAAAATGAAGAGCACATTTATTATCACTCACCAATACCAGAGCACATGTGTATTGGACCATTTTATTGACCTTTGACCCCTCCTTGACCTTGGTTGACCTCTGGTCATCACAGCCTGTGTCCAGGAGGAAGAGGAGGAGGTTGAATGCTCCGTTACCGGATCGACAGATGAGATGAATGACAAGAGTGAGAAGACTGTCCCTGTCTCTCTTCAGGACGGTCGAGTCACGGAACTGCTCAGAGATTCTGTTAAGGACCTCTGGGGTCACTGGATGGGATAATACACAGTCAAGAGAGGTGGAACCAGTGAGGACAATTTTGGACATGCTGATGATATAGTCCACCACTCATGCACTCTGCAGAGAAGAGCTTCATTGCATGCAATGCACCAAGGAGTTATTCCATCTATATTGACATTGCACACCACTGTGTGTGTATACACTCAATGACCGATGGCCCTTTTTCACAAGATATCGGATAGCCCGGCAGCCCGGTGCACTTTGATCAAATGAATGAGGTACTGATATCTGAATATTGGAACATTTGGGGAGTAACCTAGTATATCCAAATATGGACGTCTGATGGGGCCCTTCTGCTGCATTTGGTCCCTGGGACCAGTTGAAAAGGGCCCCTAAATGTATTCAATCAAACAAACAAGGTTCCACTTGAAACCAATTAAAACTAAATGCATGAATGCCAAAAAGTGACCTTGTCTGTCTGATGCATAACAATGTCTAAAATGTAAGGCTACAAAGACTGCATTGCCTACAGAACTCCATAGGTCATGTACTCTAGCTACATCTGACACAGCCAGAGACTGGAAAAGTTATGGTCAATTAACAAATTTATGGAATTGTGTTTAGGTGTCAAAACAGAGTCTGAACCTGCAGACCATTTTCAACCTGTGTTCAAATGTTGGGATACAAAATGGAGGAAAAGCAGTTTGAGGGACTTACAGGCTTGAACAAAATCTGTGGTGATGATCTTGAGTAGCATGGGTGACATGGTAGCAAGCTGAAGAAGAAACGGTACAGTGAAGACATCGTGGTCCTTCTTACCATCTAGGCTTTCCTGAAGAGGGAGAAAGAAAAACAAAAGGAGGCAGAAGGAATAAATAGAGAAAAGATCAATCGGAAAGGAGGAAGAAGAAATATAAATTAAGAAGAGCAAGAAAGAAAAGTAATAAGGAAATGCAGATTTCAGACATGAGTTGATTCTATGTGAGGCAAGCAGCCACCAAGCTTTAGGGTTGTCACTAGCTCCAAATGCAGTGAATTGGTCCATCGTGGATGATTCTTGTTTATGTTTATGATATTAATAGCTTTCAATAGTCATTGCAGACACTTGTTATTACCATTGCCATATCAGGCAAACATCGTGTAAGAGTTTTATTTGGGGCATATCATGCAGTTATTGCTTTTCTATGAAGACATTGGAAAGAGAGATATACTCGTTTTTACTCTCCCCCTTCATTTCAGTGAGAGAATGTGATGAGGTAAGGGGGGGGGGATATAGCCTCAAACTGCAATTTTTTTCTTCACAATTTCCATGTTTGATTTACCTAACCGAGCATGGACTTCCATGGTACTGCCCTACTCAAACACGTGTGCAAAATTAAGATCGCAATTTGGTAATCCTGCTTCTTTCTACAGCCTACATGGAATAGTATAGTATTAATGACTGCTTTGAGAGAAATAGTTGTTTTTATATGCTCAAGGGAAGGTTACAATTGTGCTATTGCCCCGAGGCGTGCCGAGGGCAATAGCCCAATTGTAACCTTCCCGAGAGCGTATAAAAACAACTATTTCTCAAATATTAAAGCAGTCATTAATACTTTTATATGCCGAAAACAAAAGAGTCAACTAATGACACCACCTTGGCCTTTCTCTAGTTTATCTGCACGGTTGTTTTTTATGAGTGTACCTTTGAGAGTAGACTAGATCTAGATTCTAGTCTAAGCAAGATATTTTTACAATTTTGGGGTGGGCCGGCCCTGTGGGGAATAGAGAGAAAAACCTGCGCTTTCATATGACACCTCACTTATTGAGTATCACCTTCAGGATCACAACAGATAAAGGTTTGAATCTCGATTTGAAAAAAAAAACTTGACTTTTTTTGCATGGATGCGCAATGCACGTAGACTGCATAGAGACTGCATTGCGTGTAATCTCTATGGGAAGAATATAGCACACAACATCCGGTGCGTGATCAGACACCCTGACAACTAGATTTATTTTAGTCTACGTCTATGCTGGTACTCCATTTTCAGCAACTAAACGAACATGTTTATGGATAATTTCACGTACCTTTTTTGTTGTTCTTGCTGTCAGCGAGTCTTGCATTTGATAAGTTGAAATCTTGGGACAGTTTCTTTAGCCATTTTTGTCTTGTTTGGAATTGTCTTGTCTTGTATGAAAATACCGACCAATTCTTCGCACACGTACGGTATCCTCGATCGCTCAAACCATTTTTTAACATGTAAACCTATGGGGGAACCATGGGGACTGAACTATTTTCCCGGTAACCATGGTTACTGGGATTTTAGAACTGTTTTAACCATGGTTACTGGGAATTTTACAGAAATAGTTAAAGTTTATGAATGCAATTTCGACCAATCAGATTTCTGGATTTCTTAAGTGAGGTATAATACTGGTTAATTGAAAACTTGTGACAAAATTTCTGTAGCGATTGAGAATGTTTTCTTTTGTACGGTATACCTGGAACAAATCGAGCAAGGCTTTACGGATGTCCTGAGAATGCTGAGAAGTCAGGTGACCAAGGATACCAACCACCGATGCAACCTTTGGAACCTTGGTTTCCGTGGCAATGAGCTGTCCCTCAGATGATTGGCTAGAGCAAAAGTCTTTGAGTCCACATGAGAGCACACGGGTGATGATTGTTGTTGGGAAGCAGGACCTGGGAACAGAATATTAGTCAAATAGACACCAAGGATTATACTGTTTTATACAACACCTACGTGGATCCCTGTCATTTGATTGGAGGATTGTTGGTCACATGATATTCAATAGATGGTATATTGCACGGTCGTGCATATTTGGTTATATGCGCCGTGCATTTTTGGTTATATGCAGATTGCGTACCTCTCTGCCGTGCGCGCGCGTATCCCTGCGTATATCTGACGCAAAGGCAATCTGAATGTAATCGAGAAGGCTTGAATCCAACTTGAATTTATCTTTAATATAAGGAGTAAAGCATAATTTGTTGATTAACGTTCTATTAGATCTTCTTCGATGTTGTATAAAACAAGTAATGAATGTTTTTCATTCGTTCAATGGTGCGAATATTTTCATTCGTTGAAAGATTAACATTAATTCTATTCAACTTGGCTGACGCCTCGTTGAATAGAATGTTAATCTTTCAACTCATGAAAATATTCGCACTATTGAACTCATAACCATTCATTATTTGTATAATATTATAAGATGCAAACTTTGGGAGGTTTTATGCTTCACAGAGCATGAGCAACCAAAGGTCAATGAGTGTTCAGTGAGGTTTGGGAGAACAACTTTTTTGCTAAACTGCACTCCTAGGAGCCTAAATTAGTAATAATAATAATAATAATGGTGTCTGGTATCATCTCTGGCACATTGCCACTCCTGGCACTCAATTATTAATACCCTGGCAGGCTTTAACATGGCTGTCATTACAGGCATTGAGCATTTCAAGGAACTAATTCCTGCCAGATACCCATTTACCTCACCTTGGTGGAGTGTGGCAAATGTCAACTAATGTGTTGCCAAAGGACAAAAGCGCTGCAACAGATATTTGGAAGTCTTTGGTAGGCATTACATAAGACATTACATGAACACATCACACCGATCATTCGTTCTCTACACTGACTCCCCCTCCAACAACGTATCAAATTCAAGATTCTCATGCTGACATACAAGGCCTTTCACAAACTTGCTCCCTCATATCTCTAGGCACTCATCACTCCTAAAACCCGTACTTCATCTATGCGTCTCCGATCATCATCCACAGCACATCTTCATCTGGCCCCAGGCCCTCGCACCCACACCTGTTATGGAAATCGTGCCTTTTCTGTCTGTGCCCCCCAACTTTGGAACAATCTTCCCCATGAAATATGCGAGTCTCCAACGTTAGAAACATTCAAGAGTAAACTTAAGACTTATCTGTTCAATATGTAATGTAATGTAATCATATTTTGTTTGTGAAACTATAAAGCGTTATGTAAATATTAACTATTATATACCTCACTTAAGAAATCCAGCCATCTGATTGGTCGAAATTGCATTCATAAACTTTAACTATTTCTGTAAAATTCCCAGTAACCATGGTTAAAACAGTTCTAAAATTCCAGTAACCATGGTTACCGGGAAAATAGTTCAGTCTCCATGGTTACCCCATAGGTTTACATGTTAAAAAATGGTTTGAGCGATCGAGGATACCGTACGTGTGCGAAGAATTGGTCGGTATTTTCATACAAGACAATTCCAAACAAGACGAAAATGGCTGAAGAAACTGTCCCAAGATTTCAACTTATCAAATGCAAGACTCGCTGACAGCAAGAACAACAAAAAAGGTACGTGAAATTATCCATAAACATGTTCGTTTAGTTGCTGAAAATGGAGTACCAGCATAGACGTAGACTAAAATAGATCTAGTTGTCAGGGTGTCTGATCGCGCATCCGATGTTGTGTGCTATATTCTTCCCATAGAGATTACATGCAATGCAGTCTCTATGCAGTCTACGTGCATTGCGCAACCATGCAAAAAAAGTCAAGTTTTTTTTTTCAATTCGAGATTCAAACCTTTATCTGTTGTGATCCTGAAGTTGATACTCAATAAGTGAGGTGTCATATGAAAGCGCAGGTTTTTCTCCATATTCTCCACAGGGCCGGCCCACCCCCAAAATTGTAAAAATATCTTGCTTAGACTAGAATCTAGATCTAGTCTATATACTCTCAAAGATACACTCATAAAAAAACTAGATGGAATTTTGACTGCGCGCAGTCGAAAATGATGCCTCCGCCATAGAGCAATTTAAACAAGTTTGGAGTTTAAATCTCCAGTGGTTCTTGAGATATCATGATAACAATCTCAATGTATGGAATTTCATAAGTTGACCTCTGTGACCCTTGACCTTTGACCTACGTGCTCCAAAATCTAATCAGATTGTCTTCCTATGGTGATACACACTATCATTAAGTTTGAAGTTTAAATCTCCAGTGGTTCTTGAGATATTATGATATGGTGATACATACTATCATTAAGTTTGAAGTGAAAATTCTCCAGTGGTTCTTGAGATATCGCGATAACGATCTCAATGTATGGAATTTCATAAGTTGACCTCTGTGACCCTTGACCTTTGACCTATGTGCTCCAAAATCTAATCAGATTGTCTTCCTATGGTGATACACACTATCATTAAGTTTGAAGTTTAAATCTCCAGTGGTTCTTGAGATATTATGATAACAATCTCAATGTATGGAATTTCATAAGTTGACCTCTGTGACCCTTGACCTTTGACCTACGTGCTCCAAAATCTAATCAGATCGTCTTCCTATGGTGATACATACTATCCTTAAGTTTGAAGTTTTTACATCTCCAGTGGTTCTTGAGATATCATGATAACAATCTCAATGTATGGAATTTCATAAGTTGACCTCTACGACCCTTGACCTTTGACATACGTGCTCCAAAATCTAATCAGATCGTCTTCCTATGGTGATACATACTATCCTTAAGTTTGAAGTTTAAATCTCAAATGGTTCTTGAGATATCGCGCTAACAAACTCAATACAAGGAATTTCATAAGTTGACCTCTGTGACCTTTGACCTACGTACTCCAAAATCTAATCAGATCGTCTTCCTATGGTGATAAATACTATTCCCGAGTCTTAAGTTTAAATCTTAAATGGTTCTTGAGATATTGTGATAACGGTCAAACGGGACGGACGTACGGACGGACAACCCGAAAACATGATGCCTCCGGCACCACCTTCGGTGGCGGAGGCATAACAACCGTGCAGATAAACTAGAGAAAGGCCAAGGTGGTGTCATAGGTTGACTTTTTTTTTGGCATATAAAAGTATTAATGACTGCTTTATTATTTGAGAAATAGTTGTTTTTATACGCTCTCGGGAAGGTTACAATTGGGCTATTGCCCTCGGCACGCCTCGGGGCAATAGCACAATTGTAACCTTCCCTTGAGCGTATAAAAACAACTATTTCTCTCAAAGCAGTCATTTATACTATATTATTATTGTATGATTGTTATTAGGAATTTGTTATTATAATTATGTATTATAATTATTTGTTATTATAATACATGAGTATTATATTGTTGTAATTTGTAGGTTAACATTACTTTAATTTTATTTTTTGTTAAGCGCTTAGAAACTTTGTATTAAGCTCTATATAAATGTAATTTATTATTATTATTATTATTATTGATCATAAAACAAAACTGAAGGAGAAAAGATTTTGCCACCTCTTGAACTCAACAGATGGTGTGATTTCTCTGGTAGAATTCACTATGATTTTACCGTAACAAAATTTGATATGCTCTAGCAGTTTAAAAATAAGCCCCGGCATCAATAGTTCTCCCGTTTGTCAGACCAGGGCAGCGTTTCACGAAACCATCAATAGTACAAGTTCACAGACAACTTATTTCTTGAAACGATGTCGATATCTTCTTTCAGACTTTTTTGGTCATGATATATGATGATTTCAACATGCTAAACTTGTACCTTTTGTAGCTTGTGAACTTACCCTATATGTGCTACAACCCAATCAAAATGAGGTGAGTGTTGTACAGAGGTGTTGAGGAGAGCATCTACACATGGATCTGGGCAGGAAGAGCTCATTGCTGCTATACAGTGTGTTGCTAGATCCATGATGGTTCTTGTGGCTGAAAGAATAACGACAAAGAGAATGTTTATTTATTTAAACAAAATTTAAGATGTTTTCACAAAACATGAAATCTTTTGATAATGACAACAAAATTTATGGCCTGCAATACGAGAGAAAGGAAGACCAAAGAGTTCATGGAAAGACATGGGGAAGAAAGAAAGCAGAAAGGTTGGTCTAAATGAGGAGGATGCTTGGACAGAGGGAGTGTCATCATTACACAGAAGACAGTGACCCCACGAAAGAGGTAAAATGCTGACTTTGATAAATGATAAAAATAATGTCTTGTTTACGAAGGATAGCCACATCACTATTAATACTGTCTCTCCGAGGGCCCTGCAATCATATTATTACCCCAACATGATGATGATGATGATGCATTCAACATGTACACCCCTTACTCAGAGACGTATAATGGCTCAGTGGTAGAGCAGTGGTCTTTTACCCAAGAGGTCCAAGGTTCTAAAAGCTATTTTTCATCACTGACATTATCATGATGTTAAATTCTGATATGACATATCATTAATTTACTTGACACTTTGTTCTTTTTCCCCCAAACATATCAACCTTTATTTTCATAAACAATTGAACTCTTAGCTTAATTGCATTTTGTCAATAAGTCCGAGTTCTATCACATGCGTTAACTCGTTGCCTACAGGGTGGTCCCTGTATTAGGCCTATGGAAATTAGGGAATTCAGAACAGAGTCAACAGAGTTAACTTCAATCTAAACAGATGAAATATTATACAAGTTGACATTCAAGTAACATGAAAAATGGATGGAAAGAGTTTTGGCGAGAGCTTGATATCTTTACCTTTGCATGTCATCCAGAGCTGTAGAAGCTCATTGAGGTTAGATGGATGTGGTACACCTCTGCGACTGGCATAATTACTACTGATCTGTCCTAGCAGAGCAATGGACCACTGTAAATAGAATAGGAGGGGAGGAAAAGATAAGGAAATAATTCTAGAATCCTTCTGTACCAAAAGAAGTGCAAGCAGTTATCCTTATTGACCTTGCAAGAGTGGAAGTCTGAGTTTCAAATCATTGTTTGATGGTTAAATCTGGCCATTTTATCTGCTTTTTATAATTCAGGAGAAAACAAATAGCTATTTTGCACCATATCTACAGTAAAATGTTAATATCCTTGGGCTGGATTTGTTGCCAACAGCACGAAAGGGGTTAAGATACCCAGGCTGGTGTTCAATCTAATAGTTGGATTAGTTCAATATTTTCTGAGCATGATGCGTTGCTCAGTAAAATGGCTTCAGTCATATTCAGAACAAAGAAAACAAAGAAGAGTTTTGTAGTTTTAGTAAGCCAAATTGGACTCTGCTCTCTCGGAAGATATGAGCTGTATTATTTTAGGTGATTTCAATTGTGATTGTATGCCACACCAACTTGATCTGAATGCTGAAAAGTTAATGTTTTATACAAATATGTACGGGTTAAGTCAGCTAATTGATACTGCCACAAGAGTTACAAATACCTCTTCTACTTTAATTGATTTGATATTTGTATCAGACAAGGAACTTTACAATGAATGGGGAATATTTGAAACTAGCATAAGTGATCATTATTTGGTGTATACGGTTCGCGATTTTAGTGCAAAGATCCATAACAAATCCGAATACGCAGAATTTCGCTCGTTTAAAAATCTTGACGAGGAGAAATTTTACAGTGAATTGAGAAGTACTCCTTGGCAGGTCATAAAAGATATAGATAATGTTGATGTTGCGTGGGATATGTGGTTGACTCTATTCAATAATATAATCAACAAGCACATACCAGTATGTAAAAAGCGGATAAGAAAAAAGGCATGTCCATGGATATCTGACGAGATTGTTAAGCTTATGACGGAACGTGATAAAGTTCTCAAAGCTGCTAAAGCTAACAAAAGTGATGATCTTTGGGACACCTACAAATATCTAAAGAATACAGTTATTCATCTCATGAGGAAAAGAAAAAGAGAATATAATGCAGACCAGATCTCGCAAAATCATAACAATAGTAAGCAAATGTGGAGATGTTTGAGAAACCTTGTGCCTAAGTCATTACCTATATCTCCCAATAGCATAAATGTTGATGGTGCTAATGTGTCAGACAATGCAAATATTGCTGAAGCTTTTAATGACTTTTTCATTTCTAATGCTACTAAGATTACAAAGGACCTGCGAAGGAATAAGTCTCAACTGATAGTAGACGAGGACAATAATATTGGTCCAACTCATTCGCAATTTAATTTGAATTTGATTACTGAGGATTTTGTATTGAAACAGATTGATAATCTGAGTATAGATAAAGCAACTGGTGAAGATCACATCAGCTGTAAACTTTTAAAGATGACGAAGAATGTTATCGCAGAGTCTCTTTGTGATATCATTAACAAATCCCTGTCTACAGGAGTTGTTCCACGTGAATGGAAAAAGGCTCGGGTAGTACCAATATTCAAATCTGGAGATATTTCTTCTTTGAATAATTACCGTCCCATTTCGATATTACCTATCGTGAGTAAAATTATAGAAAGGGCCGTCCACCAACAACTCAGTGAATTCTTGGACGTGAATAAATTATTACACCCTAATCAGTCTGGTTTTAGACCTAAACATTCAACAGCTACTGCCCTTGCAAAACTTGTAAATCAATGGTCGTTGAATATTGATAACAAAGAAATTTCTGGAGTTGCCTTCATAGATCTTCGTAAGGCTTTTGATACTGTTGACCATGAGCTACTTCTACATAAACTAGCTTGTATAGGTTGTAGTAATAGGACTATTTATTGGTTCAAATCATATTTAGGGGATCGACAACAAGTGACCCAATTCAAAGGAGCCAAGTCGCATCCATCAACCATCAAATTAGGTGTGCCACAAGGTTCAATTCTTGGTCCCCTTTTATTTTCAATATATGTTAATAGTCTACCTGAATGTACTCCTGAAGGTATCATAGATATGTATGCTGACGATACGACACTTACCGTCAGTGCAAATGATGCAACTGTTGTGGAAGAAAAATTAACTGTTGCGTTAAACAGAGTCATGGCATGGGTTAAGGAAAATCGTCTTGTTCTTAACACTGAAAAAACTTGTGTCATGTTAATAGGCTCTCCTGCTAATCTCAAGAAAATTGAATCTTTCACCATTTCATTAAACGGCAATTTGATCAAAAGAGTTCAATTCACCAAATGCCTAGGACTTTTGATAGATGAAGAATTGAAATGGTCTAAACAAATCGAAAACGTAAGTAAACTTACCCAGAAAAACATTAGCATGATAAAGAGAGCAAAGAGTTTTTTGCCTCAAAAATCCTTAAAGTTACTTTATAACAGTCTAGTGTTGCCACGATTAGATTACTGCTCTGTTGTATGGTCGAACCGATTTCATTCTCATACAACTAAGCTGCAAAAAATTCAAAAGAGGGCCGCAAGAATAATATTGAACAAGACATATGACACACCGTCGGCTGATTTGTTCACAAGTCTTAAATGGATGACACTAGACAAGCGGTTTGAGTTAAGTCGCGTTATGATGATATATAAATGCGTTCATAACTTAGCTCCCTCTTACCTTCAGGTAGGCTTAATCAATCCTAATGATGTACATGAGCATCATACAAGGCAAATAGACAGTGGATGTTTACGTGTGCCTAGATTTCACACTGATTGTTATAAGTGTAGCCCAATTGTTTCTTCCATATTTGAATGGAATAAGCTAGATAATTCGTTGAGAACGGCTTCCTCTGTCAATTCATTTAAGAGATTGTTTAAACAAAGTTGTAATTTGTGAATGGCTCAGCCGTACATACACTACGTGCATGTTCTGTAATATTTACATGTCTTATTCACATAATTGCGACTTAATTAATATTTTCCTATTGACATTACTGCTTACTAGGTTAATGATATATGTTAATTTTGCAAACGAGTATTATTTTTGTAACTGTTCTGTATAAATGTTATAAACGATGTAAATATGTTCATTCAGGGCCCCATGGAAGACCACTACTTGCTGGTGAATGGGCTACCCTGTCAAAAGATCAGAAATAAATAAATAAATAAATAAATAAATTAATCCAATAAAACCTAGCCTTTATCTAACATGGCCTCTATCTTTTATTAAAACATCTATCACATTGTCAGGCCTTAAATTTCAATATTTTTAGGGCAAGGCCACTTTTCTGTAGGGCACATTCCTATATTACAGCACAAACAGGAAGAATTGGAAAGGGCACAAAAAATCTCCAAGTTCAATGAGAGGGGCATTGAGGCCAGTCAAAGGGCCATGGCCTTGGTCGCCTTGGATTAATTTAAGCCCTGCATTGTGTAATTAACAATACTATTGGATTCATCTCCCATAGAAACGTTTCCCCATTTTTGGCTGCTACCTACTTTGAAATACTTCATTTTAGAATCTGTATCATACAGTCAAAATTTTGTTTGTTTTCCTGCAATATGAGTGAGAATTTACATCATTTTTAAATGCAACAATTGTTTTATTTATTTATTGTTGCCATATGCAATAAATTTGAAATTGAAATAAAAACTAAATCTTACAGCAGAGAGGATGGGAGACCAGGCTGTAGGACTATCTTCTATCAATTTCTTGAGCACCTTGTAGATATCTTCTATCAGTTCATCTAGGTGAAGTCCCATGCTTGCTATAAAGGTCAATTGAGATAAACAGATACGGAAAGATAGTGAGGGAAAAAAAGGGGGGGGGGGGATTCAATTTTATTTTTTTATTAACTACATCAGTTAGATTTCCATGGTTCTCATACCTAATATTGTAGGAACCTATCATCAACCCCTCCCAGGCTCAACAATACACAATTCCTAAAGGGCACGTGTTTGCTCCTTGCATGCCTAAAATGAACTGTCTGAGGGTCTTGTACTTTTCTCAAACTCAGTTGCATATTTTGCAAATGAGTTTATTTCAACAAGTTTGCAATGACAGGAGGCATATAAATATGTAGGTACAAAGATTTCAATCAAATGAGTTACAATGAGTTCTTCTTAACACTCAAAAAGATATTACTTTATCCAATAATTTAGTTTCTCTATAATCAATATTTCTTGTCACAATTTCATCACAATGTTAAGACGAGGAAAATGAAGAGGAAGAGAAAGAGGAAGCGAAAGAGGAAGAGGAAGAAGAGAAAAAGGAGGAGGAGGAGGAGGAGGAGGAGGAGGAGGAGAAGAAGGAGAAGGAGGAGAAGAAGAAGGAGAAGAAGAAGAAAAGGAAGGAGAAAAAGAAGAAGAAAAAGAAGAAGGAGAATAAGAAAGAGAAGAAGAAAGAAAAGAAGAAACATACATGCCCCTTCTCCTTCCAGCTCATACAGGTACAAGTTGACACTCTCATCAAAGACATGGCAAAGAAAATCCAGGACGGCTGTGCGGGCAGCTGGTAGGGTCTGGAGAAGATGGAGGGCGCAACGTGCATGTTCTTCACTAGAGAGCTTCCGTCCATTACGGATGTCGACGCCTTTCACAAAAGTGCGAACGTTGAACAGGATCTCCTGCAGATAAAAGAGAGCATTGAAAGTAATAGAAACATCGATACACATAATACACCAGGGCTTAAATTAATCCAAGGCCACCAAGGCCATGGCCGTGGATGCCCCGTTGATTGGCCTCAATACCCCTCTCATTGGCCTGGGAGATTTTGCTTGCCCTTTCCAATTCTTCCTATTAGTACTGTAATATAGGAATGTGCCCTACAGAAAAGTGGCCTTGCCCTAAAAATATTGAAATTTAAAGCCTGATACACCTAAAACTAAAAGGTTCAACTTTATTTCGAGGGAGGCAATTACTTCCTTCAAGGCTATTGAGGAGCTGCTTAGCTCCTCCACCTGTGCTTGATCAAGGAGAGGTCCTAGATGACTAGAAGAGTGCAAATGTTGCTTATGTCTTGAAGTAGTGTGAATGGTGCAAACTAGACAACTACAGACCAATCTCACTAAAATTAAGAGCATGTAATATCCTGGAGCACATTTTTCATGTCATGGAGTCATGGAGTTGGACCATCTCAAAGATCATGACATACTCTCTGATGTAACCCTGTAAGTTGGGGCTCTGATCGGATCGGAAGATCAGAGCGACACCCTCGCACCTTTGATCAGTATCGGATCGGAAGATCGACCAAAAATTGGATGATTTTTTTTTTGTTAATGACGAAAATTTTCAAGTTTTTGGCTATCAAATGCTTTAAAAAAAATTCATAGCTGGGATTATTTTGTCATGTGGAGTTGTTGTAGACCATGTTTGTTGATATTTAATGCCTTTTCATGGCTTTGAAATTAATAATATTGGTCTAAGAGAAGAGGCAAAACATGCAGGCCGCCATCTTGGATCATAATGTAGGCATGCATTATAATCCAAGATGGCGGCCCGCATGTTTTGCCTCTTCTCTTAGACCAATATTATTAATTTCAAAGCCATGAAAAGGCATTAAATATCAACAAACATGGTCTACAACAACTCCACATGACAAAATAATCCCAGCTATAAATTTTTTTTAAAGCATTTGATAGCCAAAAACTTGAAAAAATTTGACATTAGAAAAAAAAAAAAAAAAAAAAAAAAAAAATTCTGCTGATTTTTTTTTGGATCATTTTTATTGATCGGCCATCGAAAATTAATATCCGATCATCCCTGATCGGCTCAAGATCGGCCCCCAATTCGATCATCTGTTACAGGCCTACTCTGATGCCCAACATGGATTTCTTAAAAGCGATCTTGTGTCCTGGACCTTACTCTTGCCAAGATCTTGCCAAGGGCATAGACAATAGGAATCAACTCGATGTCATTCTGCAAGATTACAAGGCTTCTTCATATGCTTGACTGATACGACATACAAAACTCTACCCATGCATGGATAGCTGACTTTTTTGTGATTGTACACAGCAGGTAATCCTTGAATGAACTGTCTCTACCAAGTCCCAAGTGATACCTGCAGAGACGCCAAATTCAAAGATCCGCAATGTGTGACATTTTCATTATTCGGCGCGTGCGAGGGTATAACACACGAATAAGGTATAGTGTTTTTTTTAAATCTAACACGCACGTCGTGCGTGAGAGCGTTTTCAGACCCTCAAAATGTGTGATGTCACGCCTAATGCGTGACACTTGGTAGCTCTGTATCTGGAGTTTCGCATGGTGGTGTCATCGGCCCAATATCATTTCTGCTGTTCATTAATGACCTGCCAGAGTGCCTGTCTCGTGACACAACTTCTTCTTTTTCTTCTTCTTCTTCTTCCTTTTGAGTACCGGTACAGACCTCTAGATACAGAGTATTATCGTACTATACTAGGGGTGTGTGCAGGTGGACCACAACACCGGGGTTTCCCCCTACTTTTATACGAATAGTGCAGTGGGTTCTTCACGTGCAAAGGTAGTGACTTTTCTCTACACGGGGCCTCCATTTAACGTCCTATCCGAGGGACGGAGTGTTTTTCACTTGACATAACCTGCGTCTATGAAGAAGAGAAGGGGCACGTTAACACACAACGCAGACTTCAGTCATCCGCCTGGGTGGGAGTCGAACCCGGGATCTTTGGTCGACAGACGGACGCTTTACCGACTGAGCAAACTCGCCTCTTCCAAGGAAAGTGCTGCTTCAAGGCCTTCGGCATCGGAGCTCCCTGGAGTTGTATACACCAGCACAACACCTACATCAATACGAGAATACACACCGATGGTGGCCTGTAGACCTACTCATATATAGCGTAGGAAGAAGAAGATCAACATCATGAATACTGTCTGTAATGATATAGTGTAGTTGGTAATCTGCATAATTTCATTATTCTTTTAGTTTTAGTTTATATGCAGACACAGTTTTCATTGCTATTTGCGCTTTTGTCATTATTCTAGCTATTCATTTTAAACAGTATTACTGTAATTTATACAGTAGATAGACATCAGATCATGATGTTAATGTTGGACTGTTCAGTGTTTAGTTTTTGTCTTTTAAAATAGTCTACTGTTTGATAATGGAAATGAATGACAAATTGACAAGTCACAAGTCCATTAAAATTCTCTCAAGTCTCATGTACTAAAGTAGCATTCAGTCACAAAACCAACTCAAAAGGGAGTCGTTTCCCAGTCAACATAGTATATTAAAGCGAGTTGGCTCAGTCAGTAAAGCGTCCGTCTGTCGAACCAAAGATCCCGGGTTCGACTCCCACCCAGGCGGATGACTGAAGCCTGCGTTGTGTGTTAACATGCCTCTTCCCTTGTTCATAGATGCAGGTTATGTCAAGTGGAAAACACTCCGTCCTTCGGACAGGACGTTAAAGGTACTATGTCCCATTTGCAGGCAAAAATAATGAAACGGTTAAATTCCAACGGCATTTGAAAGATAATACTAATTTAGAACTTTCCTAACAAAGTTGGGGCTTGAAAATGTCTTCAAGTGGGAAAATAACGACTACCGGTATTAGGTATCAAATCGACTTAGGAGCTATAGAGCCAATAAGTAATAGTCTTGATTTTCAGACCATTGTACTGAATGGTCGTACGTTTTATGCTGCGCAAAGATTCAATCAGTTTAATTTTGGCCATCACAAGAAGTGGGTTATTGATGTAGACAAATGCTCATGTACCCTTTACAGCTCATGTTATTACCAAAGAAGAAAAATGCCAGTCAGTCACTCAATAGTGTCTGACCAGTGAAGTCTAGCAAGTAAACAGATTTCCTTGCATAATTTGAATATTAGGACACCGCTAGTGTTTCAATTCAATTCAATTCAATTTTATTTCGCAATATAAAAATAAAAATATACAAAGTAACAGTAAATTTTAACTATGTTTACAAAGGTTATATGTGGGGCTTTCCATGAAGGTTGCGAGAACCTGTGAAGTTGGACATATTACATGACATATTCATAATTCCTGCAAAGTTCTACAGAATTTGAGGTTGGCTGCAAAAGGGACATAGATCTAGTACCTTTAAATGGAGGCCCCGTGTAGAGAAGAGCCACCTTTGCACGTTAAGAATTATTAGTCGACCGAATTTTCTGTCTCTTTCGTTCGTTAAGCCTCTTATTTGGGTAGGGTAGGCTCCTCTCTTTAGAGACGGAAACCGACCATCGGCATTCTCTTTCAAACACCATGGCCATTTAATTACGGCCATATTTTTATGCCCCGTGGCTTAATTAACGAAAGAGACAGGAAATTTGGTCTAGTTAAGAACCAGGGGCGGTATTCTGAACATTGTTGTAAGTTTTGTGTTATCTTTTCTTGTATCTTCCAGAGATTGTTGTAAGTTGGTATTCTGAACATTGAAGGACCGCCTCTATTTTATCTTTGACCATTGATGACACGCCCATTTTTATGGACCCTTCCAATCAAAACCTATTTTATAGATAGAGTATACGTGCTAAGATGCAACCATTTTCCATCTTGGTTCATCAACACAACCCTGACATAGTCATTGGTACAGAGTCCTGGTTGTCTGATGGCATCAACAGCAATGAAGTATTCCTTGATGAGCAATACAGCATCCTACGTAGGGATCGTTCAAATGACCCACATGGAGGGGTGTTTATTGCCACCAAGACTGATTTGATCGTTACAAGAGAGGAAGAACTGGAGACTGACTGTGAGATACTGTGGTGTCGTATTGAAATGGCAGGGAGCAAAACACTTCATGTTGCAGCTTACTATCGACCAAAAGAAGATGATGAAGTCAGCCTCGCTGAGCTGCAACGGTCTCTTTCCAGGTTAGATAGAAGACACCTGGTTGTACTCGCAGGAGATTTCAACCTACCTGGATGGAAGTGGGATGGCCCTTATGTCGGTCCCTGTGCTTACCCTGCCCTTCATCATCAGTTTGGGGAAATTATAAACGATCACGGTCTTACCCAACTTGTCAAAGAGCCTACTCGACAAGCGAACACTCTTGACTTGATACTTATCAGCAATCCAACCTTGGTCAACTCTGTGAAGGTAGTGCCTGGTATCTCGGACCACAACTGTCCAGTTGCTGATATAGACATGTCACCCCCACGAAGATACCAGCCAAAGAGGAAAGTTCCTATGTACAAGAAAGCAGACTGGGAGGGCTTCGCAGAACTCATGCAACATGTGGCAGACTACATATGTAGCAAGTCATCCAGTGCATCAGTCCATGACCTGCGGCAACTCTTCAAGAGTGGAATTGAAGGGGGTATTCAATCATTCGTCCCCCACAAGATGCTCAAACAGAAACAAGACTTGCCGTGGATTACTAGCGGTATCCGTAAACTCATCTATAAGAGAGATAGGTTACACAAGCAAGTGACCAGGCTCAGGAAACAGAACATGCTGGTCCCTTTCCCGCTTGAGACAGAATTGCAGCATTTGAAACGCCTCATCCAAGCAGAATCAAGAAAGGCATATTGGAGCCATCTTGAGTCAATCTTCACTGCTGATGGACCCAATGAGTACGAGGGAATGAAGAGGTTCTGGAAGTTTGTGAAGAACAATCGTACTGACCGCTGTGGGATACATACTCTGAAAACTGATGAGCATACTATCACTAGCCCCCAGGACAAGGCTGAAGCACTGAACAAACAATTCAAGATGGCTTTCACCAATGAAACTGATGTTCCCGCTGATCTCCTTCCTGAAACATCTCCGTATGACTCCATGCCAGACATCCACATCTCAACCGAAGGCATTGTTAAGATGTTAAAGAAGTTGAAAGTCCGGAAAGCCCCGGGACCAGATGGAATACCAGCATTGGTACTCCGCAAGCTTTCAAGAGTGGTAGCTCCATCTCTGCGTGCCATCTTTGATGTCTCATACAGGACCAGTGAAGTTCCAGATGATTGGCACCTTGCGAACGTGGTCCCCATCTACAAGAAGGGAGATAAAACAGATCCTGAGAATTACCGCCCAATCTCTCTCACAAGTATCATCTGCAAAATGATGGAGCACATATTTGCAAGTAACATCATGGGTCATGCGCGCAGAAACAGTATCCTCTGCCCACTTCAACATGGTTTCCAAGCTAAGAAGTCGTGTGAACTCCAACTGACTGGCTTTGTCACCGACCTCTTGAACAACATGGAGGACAACAATCAGACGGACATAGTAATCACAGACTTCAGTAAAGCCTTCGACAAGGTTGGTCACCAGAGGCTTCTGAAGAAGATGGAATACTATGGTGTGAGAGGCCACAACATTGACTGGATATCCAGTTTTCTCTCCAACCGTAAGCAGCAAGTTGTTCTAGATGGTCATACGTCATCAACGGTAGAGGTCCAGTCAGGTGTGCCTCAAGGGTCAGTACTCGGACCCTGCCTCTTCCTTTTCTACATAAATGACCTGCCAAACCAACTTTCAACGAAAGTCAGACTCTTCGCCGATGACACGGTTTTGTACCATACCATCCAGACACCTGAGGATGCAGACTTGCTACAGCAGGATCTTGATCAACTTTGTAGGTGGTCCAGCAAGTGGATGATGGCACTAAATCCAAAGAAATGCCAGGTCATAACTGTCTCCAGGAAGAAGACCAAGTATGTCCATCGTTATTCACTCAACGGAGAAATCTTGGAGTCTGTGTCAGCTGCCAAATACCTTGGCATTACTCTCACTGCTGACCTCAACTGGACACAGCATGTATCTGCCACTTGCAAGAAGGCAAACAACACCCTAGCCTTTCTTAGAAGGAACCTGCGTGTCAACTCCACTCGGCTTAAGACTACTGCATACCAGGCTCTCGTTCGCCCTCTTCTTGAGTACGGGAGTGCTGTTTGGGATCCACACACCATCAGATGTGTAAACCAGTTGGAGATGGTCCAGAGACGAGCAGCGAGATATGTTCTCAACCGCTATCATCATACATCTAGCGTCTCTGATATGCTGAGTCAACTTGGATGGACCTCCCTCCAGAAGAGAAGAGAGCATCAACGTCTCACTTTACTGTACAAGATGCACTACTCTTTGGTTGACTTTGACATCCACCACTACATCCAACCGGCAACAGTCGTAAGAACTACAAGATCGTCTCGTCCTTACTGTTATCGTGTCATGCAGTCACGAACAGAGCAACATATTCACTCCTTCTTTCCTCGCACTGTTCGACAGTGGAACGCTCTCCCTCTTGAGGTTGTCCTGGCTCCATCAGTGGAAGCCTTCCAGCGACAACTAAAGACCGGGGGGAAGTAAATTCCGGCAATGTTTTTTTACTGGCACTATGTATATATACACCTCTCACCTGCACACCTGGACATCCCCATGTCGCAACACACATGCACTCGCACACATCTGCAAGAATCTTCAGCAGTGAAGGAGGCAGATTATTTTGAAGAAGAAGAAGAAGGTTATATAAGTATGATAAGTAGGTCAACCAATAGGAATACTTTATGCCATATCTGAAGATGCGCCAAGCGCATACTAATCTTGGGCGTAATTAGTTATTTGAGCACTTAATACGCGCGTCATCATTATGCGCTGTTGAATGTGGATCATGAAGACAAATCACGCTTTCACTGTATTGGTTAAGATGAGAGCATTAAAATCGTCATATCCTAGCATGTAATATCTTAGAAAGTTCTCATCTGTGATGTTTCCGGTCAACACACAATCTTCTTCTAACTCGTCCATTGGCACGAAGTTGGTTCTGGGCAAAAAATATTGCCGCCATTATATCACCACGAAAGATACAACAACCCCGTACCTGTTGTAAATATTGTTGTAAATACCATGCAAGATAAGATAAGATAAAAGATACAACAACTTTCAGAATACTAATTATCTCGACATATCATCTTCCGTGCGCATATGCAAATGAGGATTAAATGCCATTTTATTAATAATACGCACAATTACAAGCGCACCAAAGTATGAGCGTAGGCGCGGCCAATAAGATGAGAGAAAAGATACAACAAAAGATAACACGAAAGTTACAACAATGTTCAGAATACCAACTTTATCTTATCTTCAAAGATACAACAATATTATAGATAACACAGGGTTCAGAATACCGCCCCAAGCCCACTGCACTATTCGTATAGTGGTCCACCTGCACACAACCCCAGTAGGCCTATAGATCTAGTACGATAATACTCTGTAAAGAGGTCTGTACTCAAGGAAGAAGAAGAAGAACATGGTCAATTGTTAGAAAAGACCTTGCTTTTGCATACCCGTGCTTCCTCCGAGTCCATCGCTGAGAATTCAATAGTAAATGAGCTAGAGATGAGATCAACTTAAAAGATCTATCTGGCTGGAATACAGTAAGAGTTGAGAGCACTAACCGAGAGTTGTCTCTTTCCAACTTCCAAGATCCACTACGGTTCTAATTCTGACTTGAAGTAGTCGCTGAGCTGAATTTGGCGACCGATAGTACGCGACCAAAGGTCAGTGTACGTTCGTGCTCCATATACGTACGTACGTGGTTAAAACCAAAGACGGTTAAAACCTAGATAAAGAATAGTGCGTACGGTTTACGCACAATAGTCCCATCAGTATACTTTTCTGCGGGTTTAAGATACGGTACTGTACAAATACTGCATGCTGTGGCTTTCGTCTCGCAACTAGAAGAAAGTTACCCTCCTCCCTACTTTTCGCTGACAATCCTTTTTCTTAATTATTTACCTGGTGGTGATAGGGGAGATAGTGCATGAGCACCCCATATATGTCCAGCTCTGGAACACTCTTCTCTCAAAATTTGTCAGATTGATTTAAAGTTTGCGATAATTTCAGAATTTTTAGGAAATGATCACCGCCTTGGTGGTTAGTGGTCGCGGGGTAAAAGGAGAACTTCACCCCCCCCCCTACCTTACGCCGACATTTTTGTTTCTTAGTTATTTACACCAGGAGATAGCGGAGATTGTGCACAAGAACCCCATATGTGTCGAGTTCTGAAACACTCTCCTTAAAATTTGTCAGATTGATTCAAATTTTGGAATAATTTCAGAATTTTTAAGAAATGATCACCGCCTTGGTGGTTAATGGTCGCGGGTTAGCGCCTTAATGGTATTCTGTATTCTTTGTATTATTAAGCTATGTTTGTATTCTTTATTATGTATCATTATCATGACATGTACATGTGTTGTACTCTCATACCCCAGAAGGGGGTCGAATGAGTCAATAAATTCTATTCTATTCTATTCTATTCTAATGGTAGCGGCATTTCTGTTTCATAGTTATTTACACCAGGAGATAGCGGAGATTGTGCACAAGAACCCCATATTTATGTCCAGCTCTGGAACACTCTTCTCAAAATTTGTCAAATTGATTTAAAGTTTGGGATATGATTGAAAAAAAACGAGGTAGAAAGGCATAGCCGGGAATCGAATCGAGTACATTTGCATTGTGAAGCGATGTCTTATCCACATGACCTCCGTGCTTCACTGATATTAACTTGTTCGGTTCAAGATGTTAACACTTTCTGATGTTAATGACTTTAAAAACATATGTGCTGATAAACTACTTGTACTCCTTTGTTGAGGAGGAGGGGGTGTCCCCTAAACAATGAAAAAGAGAAGGACAAACCAATATGAACAAAAAAATGATTGAAAAAAAAACGAGGTAGAAAGGCATAGCCGGGAATCGAACCGAGTACATCTGCATTGTAAAGCAATGTCTTATCCACATGCAGTGGCGGATCCAGGGGGGGGGGGGGGGGTCCGGGCCCCCCCCCCCTTGAGAAAAAAATCATGTAAAATCACGTGATTTTTACCTTTTTGGGGGTTGGGCCCCCCCCCCTGGATCCGCCACTGCATGTGGATAAGACATTGCTTTGCAAATTGAATTTTTTTTGAGGATCAACAAAAAAAAATTGTGCTCTGTACTCCCCCCCCCCCCCCCCCCCCCACTGAGCGACTTTTCGGCCGGCGCGATTTTCAAATTTTCGGGAGCAAAAAAAAAAAAGTTGGGCCCCCTCCCCTAAGAAATCCTGGATCCGCGCCTGTCCACATGAGCACTGTGCTTCACTGATATTAACTTGTTCAGTTCAAAATGTTAACACTTTCTGATGTTAAAGACTTTAAAAAATTTATGCTGATAAACTAGTTGTACTCCTTTGTTTAGGAAGAAAGGCTGTCCCCTAAAAGAAAAAAAGTGAAGGACAAATCAATATGAAAAAAAAAATGATTAAAAAAAAAAAAAGGGAGAAAGGCATAGCCGGGAATCGAACCAAGGACATCTGCATTGTGAAGCGATGTCTTATCCACATGACCACTGTGCTTCACTGATATTAACTGGTTCGGTTCAAGATGTTAACACTTTCTGATGTTAATGACTTTAAAAAATATGCTGATAAACTACTTGTACTCCTTTGTTGAGGAGGAGGATGTGTCCCCTAAACAACAAAAAAGAGATTAAAAATGAAAACGCAAGGTAAAAAGGAGTAGCTGGGAATCGAACCGAGAACATTTGCGTTGTGAAGCAATGTCTTATCCACATGACCACTGTGTTTCACTGATATAAACTTGTTCGGTTCAAGATGTTAACACTTTCTGATGTTAATGACTTCAAAAAATATGCTGATAAACTACTTGGACTCCTTTGATGAGGAGGAAGGGGTGTCCCCTAAACAAAACAAAAAAGATGAAGAAAAAAAAACGCCAGGTTAAAAGGCGTAGCTGGGAATCGAACCGATTACATCTGCGTTGTGAAGCGATGTCTTATCCACATGACCACTGTGCTTCACTGATATAAACTAGTTCGGTTAAAAATGTTAACACTTTCTGATGTTAATGACTTTAAAAAATATGCTGATAAACTACTTGTACTCCTTTGTGAGGAGGAGGGGGTGTCCCCTAAACAAAAAAGAGAGATGAAAAAAAATGCAAGGTAGAAAGGCGTAACTGGGAATCGAACCGAGTACATCTGCGTTGTGAAGCGATGTCTTATCCACATGACCACTGTGTTTCACTGATATTAACTTGTTCGGTTCAAGATGTTAACACCTCCTGATGTTAATGACTTTAAAAAAATGTGCTGATAAACTACTTGTACTCCTTTGTTGAGGAAGAGGGGGTGTCCCCTAAACAAAAAAAGAAAAGGACAAATCAATATGAAGAAAAAAATGATTGAAAAAACGAGGTAGAAAGGTATAGCCGGGAATCGAACCGAGAACATCTGCGTTGTGGAGCGATGTCTTATCCACATGACCACTGTGCTTCCCTGATATCAACTAGTTCGGTTCAAAATGTTAACACTTTCTGATGTAAATGACTTTAAAAAATATGCTGATAAACTACTTGTACTCCTTTGTTGAGGAGGAGGGGGTGTCCCCTAAACAAAAAAGAGAGATGAAAAAAAAACGCGAGGTAGAAAGGCGTAGCTGGGAATCGAACCGAGAACATCTGCATTGTGAAGCAATGTCTTATCCACATGACCACTGTGCTTCACTGATATTAACTTGTTCGGTTCAAGATGTTAAAACTTTCTGATGTTAAAGACTTTAAAAATTATGCTGATAAACTGATTGATTGATTTTTATTCGACAAGCTTCCAATATACAACAATATACAATAATAACAGATCAAAAATAAGTCAGCTTGAACAGGATAACCCACGAAAGCTCGAGAGCTTATTTCCAGTGGGGTCCCTTACAGACATGTATACAATTAATAAATTAAAATAGTAATATTTACAGACAGATAAGAAAATTAAAAGAACTACTTATTAAAGATAATAATAACAACATTAAACTGATGATAGAAATGATATTAAGTACAAGAAGAAAAAGAAGAAGGAGAAGAAGAAAAAGAGGAGAAGGAAGAAGAGGAAAATAATGATGAATTTGTAGAATTTCTATAACGTACGAAAACATAAGTATATACAACATGAAAAAGTATGAACCGACAGAAGAATAACAATTTCAATCATATAACATGTCATTCACTTCTCTTCTCTGACTGTCAAGTATTAGGTATTCCTTTAATTTCCTCTTAAAATGATCATAGTTTCCTATTTCTTTTACACCATTGGGAAGGGAATTCCAATGTTTTATGGCATTGTAATAAAACGAATTTCCAATACTACCTACTCTTTCTGGTAAGTTAAAGTTGAATCGTCTATTTCTTGTATTATAATCATGTACGTCAGTAACAAGATCGAAGTTGGATCGAATATAATGATTCGCCCTAGTATGATATATTTTATGCACGTGATGCAATGCGAGTTGTTTTGATCTTTGGTCGACTTCAAGAAAACCAGCTTTAGAAAGTTCGCTATAGCCAACATGAGTTCTTGGACCAGAACAGTTGATAAATCTCACCATTTTGTTCTGTATAATCTTCAACTTCTTTTGATCTGACTTGTTTATGTTACTGTACCATGCAGGGTTAGCATAGTCAAATAAACATTGAATAAGAGCAAAACAGAGTGTACGTCTTGCTTTTAAATCCATACAACTTTGATATCTGTACAAAAATTTCAGACGAGAATTTGCTTTTTTTACAACTGATTCTACTAAAGATGAAAATGAAATTGCGCTAGCCAACTCAATGCCTAAATACTTCACAGACTCTTTTCTCTTGATTGCTTGATTATTGTGTGTCACTTTGAATTCAAATGACTTTTTAGAACTACTTTTAGAACAAAATAAAATGCTTTCTGTTTTTCCCAAGTGTAAAGAAAGCTTATTATCAGTCATCCAATCGTACTTGTACTCCTTTGTTGAGGAAGAGGGGGTGTCCCCTAAACAAAAAAAAAGAAAAGGACAAATCAATATGAAGAAAAAAATGATTGAAAAAACGAGGTAGAAAGGTATAGCCGGGAATCGAACCGAGAACATCTGCATTGTGAAGCGATGTCTTATCCACATGACCACTGTGCTTCACTGATATTAACTTGTTCGGTTCAAGATGTTAACACTTTCTGATGTTAATGACTTTAAAAAATATGCTGATAAACTACTTGTACTCCTTTGTTGAGGAGGAGGGGGTGTCCCCTAAACAAAAAAAAAGAGATGAAAAATAAAAACGCGAGGTAGAAAGGCGTAGCTGGGAATCGAACCGAGTACATCTGCGTTGTGAAGCGATTTCTTATCCACATGACCACTGTGCTTCACTGATATTAACTTCTTCGGTTCAAGATGTTCACACTTTCTGATGTTAATGACTTTAAAAAATATGCTGATAAACTACTTGTACTCCTTTGTTGAGGAAGAGGGGGTGTCCCCTAAAAAAAAAAAATAGAAGGACAAATCATTACACTGAAAACGTAAGTTGGTCATTCTTCTGACAAAATTAGTCCAGTAAATCAAAATAATTAGTCTTCTTTTAAATACGGTACTGGACTAGTTTCATGAGATTGTCGACTAATTATGTCATTAAATGGACTAATCATATTTTGACCATATACTAATGCACGACGAGTGATA